TAATTTATACGATCATGAAACTCGTGTCTAACGACGATGCAAATTAAGTTTTTAAATGTTTTATAAAAACACATCTACGATAGATACAGAGATGGGAGTTTATACTAAAGTCCAACGTAAATTCAAAAAAGGAACAGTATTTGCTCATCAACAATTTATGTAATAATTTATGAGACAATTATATTCTACAATATATTTTAATATATTTTAGTTATATATTATATTTCACAATATATTTTAATATATTTTATTTATATATTTCACAATATATTTTAATATATTTTATTTGTATATTTCAGAATATAGTTTAGTATATTTTATTTGCATATTATATTTTACAATATATTTTAATATATTCTATTTATACATTATATTTCACAATATGTTTTAATATATTTTATTTATATATTATATTTCATAATATATTTTAGTATATTTCATTTATATATTATATTTCACAATCTATTTTAATATATTTTATTTATATATTATATTTCACAATATATTTTCAAAGGACAGGAATCCTAAGTTTCGCGTTCCCCTCGAAATATCAATGTTGCATCCACGTAACGGTAACGTTCTGCTTCCGCCGGCGTTCTCCATTTTCAACCGTTGAAACAATCATCGTGCCGAGAGGAAATAAAATGCTCAGTCGTCGTGGCACAATAGGTTAGGAGAGTATACGGTCCCGGACAAACCTACCCGGAGAGATATTTGTTTTCTGTCGTTCGCTGGTTCGCGGCTCGTCGGATTATGAGCGGAAATAGAAACTGCCAATGATCGATCAATCAAGTGACGGCGGTCGTTGCACGTACTTATACCGCAAGTGTGTCTGTGTGTGTGTGTGTGTGTGTATATATACAGGGTGTCCCACGTAACACTTTTCACGATTTTTTCAAGTACTTGGGATAAGAAAAGAAACGCTTTAAACGAAGATCGATCAAGTTTTCTATTGACTAATACAGTGCAACGGAGAAAAAAATTTCAAGAAATTTATATTTAAAAACTAATTTAACAAAATTTAATAAGAAAAAAAATTTACATTTAAAACTTTGTACTTTTTGGCACGGTAGTATTGTAGCTCGTATCTAGACAAATCTCAACGACCTAGTATAACTTTGGATGATCTCGAAGGCAAAGAAATGAAAATTTCAACATCTAGATACAACCACTATCAAGTCGGAAATATAAAGTGCCATTTAAAAACACGAAAGTGATCTTGACAGTTATCGAAAAAGGAAAAGAATTTTTTTGAAATTTTTGTACAGCCAATGGAAAACTGATCAACTTTTGTTCGAAACATTTTTTTTTTTTCTTGTCAGATTGCCGCGAGTACTTGAAAAAAATCGTGAATAGTGTCACGTGGGACACCCTGTATATACATGTATGGGAACATTGACATCCGATGAAAGCCCGACATCCGTGATGTCTCGGTAAATGCGTTTCGTACGTGAAAACGAGGGAAAACTGGCGTACAGTCTCGCACAGCATCAAGTGATTTTCTGTACAAAAAGTACAGAATTATCTCTCGTACGCGTCTCGAGATAAGATAAGGCAGGTCTCGCGTTATTTGTATTTTGTAAACGGGAGAGCAAGTGTACGGAACACCGTTAATTGAGAGTTGAAAGGCAATTGTTGAAGGGCAGGTGGGACGACGAAATTCGGGAGAGAGGGAGGAGATTGATAAAGGGAGATTTTCAAAGAGGGAAGCAGGAGGATTTGTTAAAAAAAAAAAAAAGGGAACGTGCGCGTAGAAAGGGAAACAAGAGTGGCGAGAGGGGGCGTAGAGAAAGAGACAGAATTTAATTCCTCCGTATGAGCATGAATGGCTTTTTGTCGGGCAGGAAGAAGCTATCAACAACAAGCAGCGACAAGCAGCGACGATAAAAAAAGTACCAATGGCACGCGCGCAGGAAACACGCAACTCGGTAATACGGAAACGAAGATCCTTTCAAATGTAAATCTAACTATCTATCGGTGGATCTGCGCCACTTTAGAACGATCGAACAAACAGAGAATCACTGAAACATCCAATTGTATTAAAAGAAATCACAATCTTCAACCTGATACATGGCCTGAACATACGTAGATAGCTGTGGAAAAAATTCATCTGGCCGGAGGAAATACAAACATCGACGCCCACCATGGCGTAGAACCACAAACGAGATACCAAAAAAAAAATCCTCTTAGAATGGAAAATTGATTCTTGGACACACGAAACACATCCATTTGATTTCTATCGTAAACTCTGTGTAACGCCTGCCTCTCAGGGCAACTTTGATCGTTTCTTTTCACGTTCCGATTGATGGAAAATTTTCAACCGCGAATTACCATTGTCAAGATGCAAATTGTTTACCTATATTTGCCCGGTGTTTGCGTCAGAGAGTTTGCAGAAGCAAACACCGAACAATGCAACACCATGCGACGAGGCATTTCAAGAATCTTATACCTGGTTGTCGGGGAAAGCATGGGGAAAAAAAAAAAAAGAAAAACGAACGACAACGTCGGGGCTGTGCTTTTCCCAGGATCAAAGGCGAGTTTTCAAGGTAATGGCACCGACATGTTCCTCCATCGGAAATGGATATCGGTATGCCTGGAGGCGGGCCACAGCCTCTTCGACACGCGATCTCTTGATCAGACGTCGATATTTCTAACCATTGATAATCGTCGACGATTTGTCGTTACCCAACTATAACTACATTACGTTATTTACGATACCTCGAATCATTGATAATTCTTCGAAATTTTTTCATTCAACGATATTAAATTTATGATCGGCAATTAGATCTAAAGATTAAATTTAGAGATTTATTAAATTTAAAATTGGCAACTTTGAGAGTTGAAAATCTTTTCGAATTCTTAGTTACATTATCATCACGCCATGAAATCACTGTGCTATAAATGTTATAAATTTGAACTTGTTAATTTCTCAATTGAAAAGCGTATATTATTGTTATATTGAAGTATTATTATATTATATATTATTTATATATTATTATTATATTGAAATATTATTATATTAAATATTATTTATATATTATTATTATATTGAAAGTAAGAATGAAGAATTTTTATGAAAAATACTAAAAATTAAACTGCAGCGTAACGTAACGCAGTTTTAAAGTAACACAAGAATAAAAAAAAAAAAGAAAATCATGAAGAACATTTGACAAACGCGAAAAAAATATCGATGGCTTTTGATACTAAAAGTTAAAATAGACAACACGCCATTTCATTACACCTCGCTATAGTATACACAGAAATTGATTTACTTAATCAGTTACATAATTCTCATTAATCCCTGCTACTTTCTCCCAAGCATTTTACGATCCTCTCAATCATTTCCCTTTGTAGAATTTTTATCGTTTAAACGAGAAATAACCTCGCGATGGTTACATCGTTGATCTCATCCTATATATTTCTTAAATTTCCTCCCCATTAAAATAATTTCCCAATTAAAATCCTTGATCTCTCTTTGAACAATATTATAAGAGTACTCTCCAAAAATAATATTACAACATCGAGTCACACTCGTAGAAATTACGATTTCAACTCCAAAATAGAAGCAAATTTCAACTTCAATAAATAAATTAAACTATATATATATATATATATATAACTAATAATAAACTATATATATAAACTAATAATAAACTAATAATAAACTATATATATAAAAGAAAAAAAAAGCGACGAATTATTGTATACGGTTCGGTCACTCGTTATGGTCCGCGAACCAGTTGCCAGCGCAAGGGGTTAATACGCGACGCTTTACATCCGATGTAACACGCTTATTGGAGACTGACTGCGAGAAGGAATCGCGAAACATCGAAAGGAAGAATACAGGACAATGAATATCAGATAATGTTACTGATTAAATAACTCAGCTTCTGTAAGGGCAACGTACAAGTAAGCAAATTGTATATGATATAAAAATACGCGGACGAACTGTATCGAGTCGAATAACAACGCGAGTAGGCGCGGAAACCACGCCAATGAAAGGGGCGATTGAATGAGAGACAATGAACGCCGATGGCAGTGCGGGCGAGTTCATTGAAAGGGAGAAGGAACTTTTACCCGCGAATCGAGACGAGCATTGTGGAATGGCAGACGCGTGTTGCCCCGGTGTACAAAATGCCTCTTGTACGCGCGCATCGAATCAAATAGGGAGAGACGCACAGTGGGGACCTTTTATCCGTCGCAGACTGGAAACAATTTCCAGTCGCCGCATTTCGAGCGAACAGCTTAATTTGATACCGTCGTATACGCATCCCCCCCCCCCTCCCTTTATACCCCTCGTTGCATATTAAAGACAAATCTACGAAATTTGTTGGGTGTCGTTGCTAGACTGCGGATTCTTTTCGAATATAATTAAAGAAACGGCTAATTTTTTAAATATTTGAACGTTTCGTAGGTTTCTCTATAAAAGTATTATATATATATAAAAAAAAGTACTATATATAAAGGTATTACGTACAATTTTGTGCTTATTATCGGCTTTTATCCGTAATCTTAATTACCTCGCCGCGTAGAAACGTGTTAATTTTTTACAAGTCTACGTAATCTAATAACTGATGTGACAATTAAAAAAAAAAAAAAAAAGAAATACCGTAAGCATTTGAGCAACAGAGAGAATACTCTCGAGCGACGTCGAAAGAAGCCCGCCGAAATGTTCTCGCGATGGAAACGTGACTTTGCGAAGACGGAGATGACGAGACGCCGGCTTCGAAAGTCTGTCACACGCACGGCTCGATATAAACGACACGGAAAAATAGTCGTCGAACCCGCGACAAGCCACGTTCGACGTGAACGTAGCTCAGTCAAAACGTACTGTCGTAAGCTCCTGTCGGAAGGAAAAGGGATTCGAAGGATGGAAAAGGGGAGAGAGACGCCGTGTTACCGACCGAGCGTGTGCCGTGTGTCGCACGTCACGGACACGAGTGAACGCGTTACGAGAACGTCGTTTACGAGACAGAAGAGACAGGTATAAACGGTCTTACGATGGTTTCTTCACGACGGGGGGTAGAGGCTGGCCGCTGCTGCAGAGAAGGGAGGCCTCAGGTTACGGCATTCAGCACACCCGGTATAACGCAACACGCACCGATAGCAGAGCACCGCGCGGTCGTAACAGCGACACGAAGAAAGCGCAATGGCCGACAAGCGCCTGCACCTCCGCTGATAGCTTCGATCTTCCCTGGCCGCTGGTTGTACACCACGCACTCGGTCTGTCTCGTTCGGGGACCGACACACGCGCACGACACGCCTCCCTCGAGTCTCTCAGACGAATACAGCCGCGGACGCGTTCCTTTCGTGTAACGAACGGAGCCAGGGACGGTTCGCACTGTGTCCGATCGTATGAACCCGCTGCCACTCGCGCCAGACCGCCACACACCGTCCCATCCGCTGGATAAAAACCGACTGGCTGGCATGCTCCTTCGCGAGCCGCGATGCACCGCCACGGATGAGGAGGTTAGGTGGAGGGGACATGTCGGGACACCCGGAGAACGACGCCTCCACCCGACGCCGCACGTGCGACAGAGACGCAGATAGACGCGCGGACGACTCCGATTGGGCGTGGTAGAGTCACTAGGCTCGTCTTCCGAATTTACCGACCGAGGTCCGCGAGTGTGCCCACCGCGGCGCCATCTTCGCTCCACCGCCAGCGCGCCAAATTCGAATCGAACGGGTAGTTTGAAGGGTTTGCAATTCTTTTTTTTATTCCGTATTCTTATTGTTTGATTGTTTTATTATTAATCCTAGTTAACAAATGACCGAGTCTAGGTAACTGTCGGTAATGTGTCTGTCAAAGAGAGAAACGCGGCGTTGATGGGGATAATAAATTGTTTGTAGTATTATTGTGTGGGACTAATATTCGTGAAAATTATATCGCAAAAGGGAAAAGAAATAGCGTGCCTACGTGCATGTTTGTTAGATCGAATGTCAATGTAATTGATAAAAATAGAGAATCACAATGGCACAGGGCAGATCGACGTGAATCGATTTCGCGTGGAAAGCATCGAGTCACTGCAATTTCCTAGCGCTGTTGTAGTCTTCTCGGAGATGATTGCTTGATGGAACAACCACGATTCGAAGCACGATTCACAAAAGAAATAATAGAAACGATCGAACGGTAATCTGCCAGCGTAATGCATCGGGTTTCCGTTGAAATCTCTCCGACGTACGATGACGCGGCTCGAAAGATGCCTCGTACAATCGAACTGGCAACTTGAACCTTAAAAGAAAGAATTCTAAAAGATCTTCGAAGTTTCCGAATGAGAGATGATTCATAGTTTACAAATTAGGAAAGCGAATTGCACTTTTATAAGAAGAAATAAATAACGATTCACGTAGTTTGATAAACTTTCAAAATTTTTACAAAAACAATCACTGAGAAGAAAGTAAAATTTTCAATTAAATGGAAAACAGAACTAAATCGTGTTATATGAGAGAAATTTAAAAAAAAAATTGAATGATCGAAATTTCCAAATGTTCGAACGATTAAAAACTTTATCATTAATCGCTAGCTCGATTATCTATGGCGAAAATTTATTCCTGCAATCTCTTAGTTACTTGGAGGGGCTGCACTTCTTTGAAAGCAAGTCAACGCACATTAAAAAACGTGACAAATAAATCGACATCGCGAAACGTAATAAATCCACGCAGTGAAGAGTGAAAGGAACGAAGGAAATTACAGAGTCTTGCAGGAGTTTTCGAGTTATCGCGGTTCGACTGTGTTTTTCACGCCTTTGCGGACCGAGTCTAATTTCGATTCTTTTCGGACCCTTCGAAAATTACTCGTTTGCCAGGTCAACAAAGAGAGAGAAAGAGAGAAAAATACCGAAACGACCTGACTGAGACGACGCTTCCAACAATGTATCAGGAGTATCAATCACGCGTGTCATTAATGGTTGCGGTTGCGGTTACAACCCATCGAGAACTATAATTCAGTCGGGTCGCTGTATTCGCCATATAGGGCATTACGCGGTGTAACGCGATTTACGATGTCCATTGTCGCCACACAGGCAAAAAACTAGATCCATTCTTGCCACCAACATGTAACGCGTTGATTTTTATCCGTTTTGTAATTTTGCGCACTATCGCGGTATTTGATTGCACGTTTCAGGGAACAACGTTTCCGGAATTGCACCTTGCACGATCGAAATGATATCATTAGCTGGATAGAATTTTGCAGTTTGCAAACTACAAGTCACCAAGTCTGTTAATCGATGGAGAACGAGCTGATCGCAATCATTTCTTTCCCTCGGTGATTTTTATCGCGTGTCCTTTCATTTTTATTGGAAAAGAAATTAAGGATCAAGATCCATTTAGGTGAAATTGATTTACGTTTAATTCGTGGTTACATGGAAGATTCTAGTCAAGGGGAACGAAAAAAGGTTGACAAGTTAATTGACTCTATCGTACAACGATGACAAATTTGGTAGTGAAGTTATTGTGAAATTTGTTACTAAAGTTTTAGAAACAAATTCTACGAATCTCACGAATTCTGCAGATTATTTTATTGCATTGAAATTGTAAAATAAAAATGTATAAAGTAAATTGATAAATGATGGCAGGAAGAGAATAGATTAGATAAATAATTTACACGTTTCTTCGACGTCGAGTTAGGGAAACTCTATCTTGTGCAACTTTCTCTGTCTTTACTATTACAAATGTGAGAACTAGTAAGAAACGGGCACACTCTCGTAATGGCAATATTCTGTTATTAAATCTTGAGTCTCTAGAATGTTATTAGACTCTTTTCGTAACTTGTTGACTCGTCGCTTTAATTTCCAACTTGCAATTTCAACGTACGCTGTTTAAAAAATACACAAAGAAACGGTAACACTAATATAACGATAATAAATTATTTAGTAGAAACTCGACAATTCATAAAATGAAATACACATCTGCCTACTGAATTTTGTTGCATAAATCCCCCGATTAAAATTCCAGTCCAAGTAAAATGTGAATGTTAATCGTGAAAAACGTTTTCAAAAGAAACACTTGCAAATTTATCGGAAGTACAGTACGAAATTCCATTGCTGTCGTGACACTGTCGTTCGTTCTGCAAATACACAAAGAGGCCATCGCCCGTCAATTAACAGACGTAATTAAAATTAAAAAAAAAAAAAAGAAAATCCCTCTATCGTGCATCAAAAAGTGTCAATGCAATTAATGAAACTTTCCCTAAAAACTTTGGTCCCTCCGATCGACGTTGATCCGTCGAGAATCGTGAGACTCTGAAGCTGAACGACGCTGGAACGAAAATGGTAATTAAAGTGTAGTTCCATCGCTTGGTCGCCATAGTTTTCTGTTACTTAAACGTTAATTACAAGGAAGAAATTCCTCGGCCCTCAGGGGTGGGGAAATTTCTTCGCGTGGCTCGGAGCGAGAAGTTTCGACGTTCGCCGAAATTTCGTCAGCCTTCACCCTCCTCCCTCCGCCCCCTTAAAACGGACGGTGGCTCATATCGGAAGTATGTCAAGAATTTAGCCGTGGGCCGTTTTCACTAATAGCTCGCGATAATTGCGTGTTGGCCACGGTTACGCCGCCAAATGAACCGTGTCAAAACGCGGCCTGTTATTACTCGAATTATACCATTTTTTTGCTCGCCAGTGAGGTCATGATCAAGCGGACACGAACAGAGGCTCTCGTTTCTCGCTCTGCGTCGAGGGGGAATTTTCGAATTCGCCACGATGATCCATTGCCATTTACGTTTTTACGAAGTTTTCCGAAATTTCGTTGCGTATCAACTTGATTAATTTCGATATATCCGAGGTAGTTTTTTTTTTTTTTTCAAACCTTTCACGGAGATTGAAACGAATGCCTGGTAGAAATATGGAAAACTTGGGAAACAGTGAGATTTTGCAAATGCCGCGAGACAGAGACAGTTGATGGAAAGATCGTGTGTCTTCGTCGATATTATCGGGAAATATTAAAATTAAAATCGTAGTGGGACGCGTTAAAAGTTGGACAGTGGAATTTTTTAGTGAATAATTGTGTGCTTTTGATGAAACTATTGATCACGACGAAATTTATATAGAATTAGATGAAGAACCAGTTAAAAATAAAATCCAAATTCACGATGAATCTTAGTGCAAAAAATTTCTTCTACACGAGTACAGATACTTAATCTCTTTCCCTTTATAATTTCTCATCGTCTAAGCATCAAATCCTTCACTTCTTTATAATTGTGTATCGTACTGATGTACGTATCTGTCATTAAACGATCGATAAATCGACTCGTCGTGTCGACGATCTCCACGGAGATTTTTCGGTCGTGGGATACATAAACGATCGTAGTCGAACGATTGTGCAACGAGTAACGATACGAGACCGGTGTATCGAGTAACGAGAACCACGTTTCGCCAACCGCAGAGACTTTCTGAGGATCTTTTTCTCGTCAGATCGAATTGCCGCTGGTCGAGCGGCCCAAACCGACTCTCTTCTTCGAATTTATCCATCAAAAAACGCTTCTAATCAACGCTTTCAAAATCGATGGCAAATCTCCGGTGAAATTAGAGAACTCTCGTTGAAACAACTGAAACTTTGTCATCGTATTTATTTCTATCGTGCTTGTAAACTGATTTGCAATAATAATGATAATTTAATAGTTTTAGATTTTCACTGAACTTCGAATAAAATTCATACAGCTAGGTGAATCATAATTTTGATTATTACAAACGACGTTAATTGTAATTAATTATAATATATAATAATATGTTATATATTATAATATTTATTATATAGTATATAATATATATAATACTATTATACTATACTATTATATGTATTATATACATTATTATATCCTATTATATATATAATACTATTATACTATACTATTATATATATTATATACATTATTATAATACTATAATAATACTATTATACTATTCTATATATGTTATATTTATTATAATATTTATTTTTATATTTATTATAATATTTATTACATAGTATATAATACATATAATACTATTATAATATATATATTATAATATTTTTATATATATAATATATAATGGCAAATTAAAATTAAATTTTTCAGAATTTCTTAGAATTTTTTTAAAATTATATTATTAGACATAAGTAACTTGATCTTTGATTTTCACTTCATTCGTAAAAATTGAGTAAAAAAGAATGCGAGGCTAAAAAGCGAAATAATCTAAATTTTAAGCAATTAAACATTTAACTTGGACGACGTGAGTTTAAATGTTCTCGGTTAATAGGCTGAATTAATAAAAATCACGGAGAGAAGATTGAAAAGAAACTTCGTCCATTTTCCTACTAACGGCAGTAGCGGGGTCCTAATGCGATTGCTGGATGAAAGGAATTCTAATATCGTAACTTAAATTTTGTTTTAAACATTTCGTAACTTTGTTTCTGGGATCTGGATCTCTTTCTGGAACTTTCTGGCTTCGTTCCCGTGAATTTTTCTAACACGATAGATTCACCAGATTCGAAACTACACGCGGATGTTGAAAACACGAGATGAGACTGTTTAAAAGAATATTTTCGAGAAATAGTAATAAAATTGCAATTTTTTTTTAACATACAACAACATTAATGAAATTTCTCTGAGAAATAATTAAGAAAAATATTTGACACTAATTTGCTTGTTTTTTAATACTTCACAATTTTTTTTAATTTTAGTAACTAGTAATTTTAGTAATTTTATTAATAGTAATTAATTTTATTAGTAAATTTCCTTTTAATTTTAGTAATTAGTATTATTAAATGGAAAAGATTTAAAAAAAAGGAATCATTTGTTTAAATAATATAGCAAACTTGTGCAATTAGGGGAAGCGTAAGTTGAAACACATGCAACGAGACAAAAAGACAATAAACAAGAAGCAACTCCCGGAAATTAAAAATAGGGATGATTTTATCCACCAAATAGATGTTATTTAGCTTTCCAATTCTTTAAATTACTGTCTAATTGAAAAAGGCAAAAGAACGTCTGACTGGTCCCTGAATGATTCATGAGATGACTCTGTATAAAGTCTATGTATGTAAATGTCGAAGGAAAAAGTCGCAACTCCATCGACATGAAAAGTTTTTCTCGTACCGAACCATTCGCACTTTTTAGAAAGGCCATTTACTTATCACCATGAAATACAACAAAAATTCTACATGATCAACGCCAAAGTAACTATTGTTTTGTATTACGTATTACAAGCATTATAAATAAATATAATTTAATAAAATATAATAAATATTATGTATAATTATAATATATATTATATATAATTTAAAATTATATATGATTATATATAATTATAATATATATTATATATAATGAAAAATATAATACAACAAAATTTCTACATGATCAACGCCAAAGTAACTATTGTATTACGTATTATAAGTATTATAAGCAAATTTAATTTAAAATATAATAAATATTATATATAATTATAATACATATTTTATATAATTTATAAATATAATATATAATAAATATTATATATAATTTATTTATTATAATATTACAATTTATATAAATATATATAATTTTTAAATATTATATATAATTTATTTATTATAATATTATAATTTATATAAATTTATATAATAAATATATATAATTTATAAATATTATATATAATTTATTTATTATAATATTATAATTTATATAAATTTATATAATAAATAAATATAATTTATAAATATTATATATAATTTATTTATTATAACATTATAATTTATATAAATTTATATAATAAATAAATATAATTTATAAATATAAAATATAATAAATATTATATACAATTTAATAAAATATAATAAATATTATATATAATTTATTTATTATATATAATATATAATAAATATTATATTTAATTTAATATAACATAATATCATAAAATACTTTATTCCTTGCAAGATCTTTCGAGACTTTTTGTCAGTGATTACACACACTATTTTTGGATAATTCGCCGTGAATAATTCCATCAGAAGGTCAACTCGAGTATGAAGAAATTAGCACTACGAGATTAGCCAGGTTGAACGGCGACGATATCATTTTTGGTAATTCCATTGCTGCATAGTCCAATCACTTTTGCCACCGATTGTACCACACTTTTGGAATTTTCTGTCAAGGATTTCTTAGAAAAAAAACCTCGGATGGTCGACTGGAGCATGAAGAAACGCCTCCAGTACAGAGATTCGCCACTGGGAATGGCGAAGATTTGGTAATCCCGTCGCTGGCAGCTTGCACAGTTATCGGACGATCGCGGAACGAAAAGAAATAGAAAGGGAGGCTAGAAAAAGCAAGTCCGCCATATGCGGCGGTACTACTTCGCTGCGTAACACACGAGAGAGAGATCACGACGTTTGACTTACAACTGGAGCAAATATATTGCATCGCGTGATCAGGAGCATGCATCAGTAGCCTCTGGTACGGTAAACGAAATACACGTGCGGCGATTTTACTGGGGGGATATAATCGTTTATCGTTATAGAAGAAAGAGAAAAAAAAAAGAAAAAAAAAAAAAAAGAAGTTCCTGCTCTGTGTTTGCATTTTATTCTTGGCTGTGATACGACAAATAGTGCCATTATTTCTCATTCCTTTTTAATTCGCGTTCATATTGAAACGATTAAATTGGATCTGAATCGTTGTAAATGATGGGGAAAAATAATTCCAGTTCTAAGTGATTCTTGTAAGCCGTGATTCTAAACACACATAATTCTAAGTAAGTCTAAACACACAACTTAATAATTCTAAACAATTGAATTACAAATTGATGTGAATAATTCTAAATAATTCTGACCGTAATTCCAAACGTGATATAATTTTAAACAATTCTAAATTCGAATCGAATTTTAATAAATAATTTTAAAACATACTTTCATCAAACTTAAATAATTTTAAAACATATTTCGACCTATGTTTTATCAAATCTAAATAATTTTAAAACATACTTCAATCTATGTTTCATCAAACCTAAATAATTTTAAAATATACTTCGACTTGTGTTTTATTAAACGTAAATAATTTTAAAACATACTTCGACCTGTGTTTTATCAAATATAAATAATTTTAAAACATACTTTGACTTATGTTTGATCAAACATAAATAATTTTAAAAAATACTTCGACCTGTGTTTTATCAAACCTAAATAATTTTAAAACATACTTTAACCTATATTCTATCAAACCTAAATAATTTTAAAACATACTTTGACCTATGTTTCATCAAACATAAATAATTTTAAAACATACTTTGACCTATGTTTCATCAAACATAAATAATTTTAAAACATACTTCGACCTGTGTTTTATCAAACCTAAATAATATTAAAACATACCTCAATCTATGTTTTATCAAACCTAAATAATTTTAAAATATATTTCGACCTGTGTTTTATCAAACCTAAATAATTTTAAAACATACTTTGACCTATGTTTTATCAAACCTAAGTAATTTTAAAACATACCTCAATCTATGTTTTATCAAACCTAAATAATTTTTAAAACATATTTCGACCTGTGTTTTATCAAACCTAAATAATTTTAAAACATACTTCAACCTATGTTTCATCAAACTATGTTTCATCAAACCTAAATAATTTTCAAACAAACTTCAACAATTTCAAGTAACTCTAATTCCGCGATTCCAAGTAATTTAGAAATTTTCTATATCAAGCTACCCTCGATCAATTAATCAATTCATAGAAAATCTCAATTCAATATTAAATTAAATACAAAAATTACAAAGATCGTCTGTTTGAAAGGAATGAAGAGTACGAACAATCGCGAGACAGATGAAATCGTCGGTTCGTCGTGAGCAAAGCGAGGAACGAAAATTTCACTCGACGTAAATATGGTTAACGATAGAGCGACAGGAGTTGTGGAATGAGATCGAAAATGAATGGAATGGTTTTGGTGGTTGGTTTCCTGATGACGTTGACGTTGGCGGACGTCTGTGCAGAGAGTAACAGCACCTCGAACAAAGTTCGCGAGAAGAAGGCGCGGATAGTGGAGAAACTGAAGAGGGACTTCCGGAAGTTGAAGAAGCAAGACGGGGCTGTTAAACTGGTGGGTGGAGAGAACGGCGGACACGAAGGTAACAACAAGTGTTTCGAATTCGAAAGTTTTGTCTGGCTCTTCCCTCCCCATCCACGTAGCCGCGAGTAAATTAGAAATAAAGTGGTATCCTTCGAGGGTAATAGAAAACTTTCCAACTAAACGCGTTACTCGGCTCCTTCGACCGATTGGAAAGAGGAAAAGAAAGAACTGAGAGATCTCACAGACTGAAATTTGAAGTATAAATGAAGCTTCAATTGAGAAATTAGAGACGAGACGATCAGGCGGTTTGGCGGTTTGGAAATCTGAGGCTTTGGAAGTCTGAATTGTTCATACATTTAAAGATCGGACGGTATTTTGGAAATTCGGGCGCTCGTAAATTTGCAAATTCGGCCAGTTTGAATTTTCGGGTGAGCTCGAAAGCGTGGAAACCTCGAAATTTAGAAATCTGAATTCGGAAGCTTAGCGATTTTAAAATCCCGACAATTTCCCGTAACATTTGGAACGTTTAGCTTGGAAATTTGGAAGCTCGTAATTCAGAAGTTTGGAAATTCTCGGGAGCTTGCGAATTCAAATGCCCGAGCAATCGAAACTTCGAAACGTTGCGAACTCAAATGTTCGAGCAATTGAAACTTCGCAAGTCCGCGAGCTGGAAAATTTCGAAGCACGAAGATTTCAACGACGTCGCGAAGACTTCAAATTCCATTTTGTAAAGCGTGAAGTCGACGGTTCTCACGCCGAGGAACAAAGGATTTGCGCCTCCGTCGTGGATTTATTATTAAAATAAATTTATTATATTATTATATTTATTTGTTATATTGTTATATTAATATATATTATATTATTTATTATATTATTATATTAATATATATTATATTATTTGTTATATTATTATAATAATATAATATAATAAATTTATTATATTATTATATATATTATATTATATTATTTGTTGTATTAATATATATTTTAGTTTGTATTAATATTAATATATATTATATTATATTATTTGTTATATTATTATAATAATATAATAAATAAATTTATTATATTATTATATTTATTTACTTATTATTAAAATAAAAGCTCGAGGAGAAAAGTCGACACGACCCCGTGCTCGTTTGACATACGAAACGAGTCTTACGTGAAACGAGTCGCGGTTTTATCAGTCGCGTTTCTCGCCTAAGTTGTGCAACGCGACGATTAAAAAGGGGTCAACTGGAGGATGATTTATATCAACGACTCTTTGTGTCTGTGTGTCAGCGTAGTAAAGATCAGTCACGCAGTGAACCGCTAGTCGCAAGATAGGATAGCTACCGTCAAATTGGACCATAAAACAGGATAGAATCCGTCCCAGATGTTCGTATGTCAATTTTCGTTACCCTCCATTGGATATTACGTTCCAACCTGTACCGTATTTCCTTTATGTTTCGTCGACTTTTCCCCACCATATCGAACCTCCCATGTCCTTTTCTTTTCCCTTTTGGAAAACGGTTAATCTTTTCGTCGATTCTCTACGTTTGTATGAATGAAGTCATTCGTTACGATTTTTAGAATTATTTTCGTTATTAATTACGTCACGTCTGTTTCTACAATTTCTGAAACGACAAATCCAAAGTTCACAAGTTTGTTTATCGTCGTAAATTTCTTTTTTTATATTTTTATGTTTATGGATATGTTTAAATATTTATATACATATATATATTTTTATTTGATAACATAATAATATAATAATAATATAATTATATTTTTATTTAATAATATAATAATATAACAATAATAATATAATTATATTTTTATTTAATAATATAATAATGTAACAATAATAATATAATTATATTTTTATTTAATAATATAATAATATAACAATAATAATATAATTATATTTTTATTTAATAATATAATAATGTAACAATAATAATATAATTATATTTTTATTTAATAATATAATAATATAACAATAATAATATAATTATATTTTTATTTAATAATATNTTATTTAATGATATATTAATATAATAATAATATAATTATATTTTCATTTACTAATATAATAATATAATAATAATATAATTATATTATTATGTAATAAGATAATAATATAATAATATAATTATATTTTTATTTAATAATACAATAATATAATTATATTTTTATTTAATAATACAATAATATAATTATATTTTTATTTAATAATATAATAATATAATTATATTTTTATTTAGTAATACAATAATATAATTATATTTTTATTTAATAATATAATAATATAATAATATTTTTATTTAATAATAATACATTATTATTAATATATTAATATATATTATAATAAAATATAATAATATATACAAAATATATATATTTTTTTTTACATAAATATATTTTTATCTATGCTTGAGAGAAATATTTATTGAAACGATAGACAGTTTCAGAAGTGATGTGCAATTCTAATAAAATTGTGACACGGTAGATTGTCAATTTTTATCCTTTTTTCAGAATCCAATTTTTACTGAATTTCTATAGAATACATTTCAAGTTCAAGCTGTGTTACAATTATTCTCACAGAACTTGCTTCCTTGTATTATTGTCAAATAGTAAATAAATATAAAAATCAAACCACCCAACGTTTGAAATCACATTCTTTGAGAACTGATCCACCACTGAAACTGCCTTCGTACAAATACAAATAGAAATTTCACTTTGTTGAAAATAAACTTCAGACGACGTCCATTTAATTACTCTACTTGATTCAACTCTCTCTGAATCCATCCATCTGCCAATATTGACGAATTGAAATTACTTGTTTAATGAGAGATTTGACTAGCAACTTGTCAATTGACTGGCAACCTCTATCGTTCGGCAATTGTTTAATATTTCAAATATTTGTCAAAGAGTCTCTGGTCGCGTTGAGAATGATCTCGGCGTGAAAATGGGAAAAGAACGAGGCAAATCTAACGAGCAATTGACATTCGAGGAGAGATCAACCGTTTATAATCGAGCAATTATCAACCCCGTAAGTTCCGCCATTAGCCAGACACGCGGTGGGTGGGGGAGGGAACCGGAAACCAGCGGGCGCAAGCTCCATAATTCGATTGGTTACGCAGGAAACGTGGAAATACTTCACGACGGGAAATGGGGCAGCGTGTGCGACGACGAATGGGATTACTTGGAGGCCAATGTGGTTTGCAGGCAATTAGGCTTCGACGGTGCGATTAAACCAACGTCGAACGGTCACTTCGGCCAGGCCAGAAGTGAGATAACATTCTCTTCAAGTTTCAAGTCAATATCATCTTAGAATCCACGCGAGCATGAAATCTCGCGTGGCGATTGAAACTTGGTATAAAAGTTTCGTCACTTTTTGCACGTATAGCAAGAATGAAAATTAGCAAAAAAAAAAAAAAGAAAGTGAGTAGGTATATGTCATATGTAAGTCCTAAGGATCCATTTTCATAATACTTTAACGAGGTGAATGGGAAAAAGGTGATGGACATTTGGACAATCGTCCAACTGAAAACTTTATACATGTATTTTTACGAACTGTATTAATATATATATTAATATTAACATTATGATATATTAATATTATCAATATGTATAATAATATAGTATATACAACATATATAATATTACATAATATTATATTAATATTAATATTATTAATATATATTATAAATATTAATATATATATAATAATGTTAATATTATAAATATTATATATCTTATTATATATATTAATATTATTATGTTATGTTAATATTATTAATATGTATAATAATATTAATATTATGTTACATTGATATTATCTATATGTATACTAATATTAATATATATAACATATATAATATTACGTAATATTATATTAATATTAATATTATTAATATATATAATAATACTAATATTATATATATGTATATGTATGTAATATTATATATATTATATATGTTATATATATTAATATTATTATTAATATATTGATAATATTAATAATATTAATATTATATTAATATTGTACATATTGATAATATTAATATTATATTATATTAATATTATTAATATATATAATATTACGTACATAATATACAACACATATAATATTATTAATATATACAAAATAAATATAATATAATAAACGTTATAGCAAGTAAAGCAAAAGTAATGAAGAATTGCGAATTTATAGAACATCTCGAGAAACGAAAATATTCCTATAACACTAAACATCAATCCGATGTGAAAAATTTGCAAAAAGAAATATATATCGCCGAGTCGAAAGTCCGAGGATTAAGTAGAAATCGTTTATCCCCCTGTTCGCGTTTAAAATGATCGATCCGATCGCAGTTTCACGCGAGTGCTTAACGAGCTCATCCTCTTCCTCACGTCGCATTCCCTTTGTTTACTTGTACACTCTGTTTGCTTGATCAATTAACGGAGATTTGAGATGTGGTTTCGTTCGCGAAATTTCTTCTTTTTTTTTTTTTTTTCGCGTAGTTTATTATGAAACGCAAAAGGCTCGAAATAATCGGATAGTCGATAAGCCAATCTGGCGTGAACGCGAGTGCACTCGTATATATCCAGGCGTAGACAAGGCCTATCTTTCACCGGTTCCTTTTTAATCGAGGTCAAATCGACCCCACCCTGCTGGCTCTCGTGAAAAAACGGTGTTCCACACTGGTGATCAGGGTTTTAAAACGGCGGGCGCTTCTTCCTCTTCGCGTCTCTATCGATTCGGGCTATTCGGGATATTCTGCTGGTTTATCGGTAGTTTGAGAACGTTGGATTCTTTTTCAATTTGGAAAACAAATCTCGTAAGGGCGGAGGTATTATTAAATGTGAGAAGAATTTAAAGTTCGTTGTTCAAAGTTCGGCACGATTGAAGGAGAATTGAAGGACCGTGTTCCCTTTCAACGACAGAGAGCCTAATTTTAATTTAGAACGCCGGTTTCGATCGACCTTGACCAATGGGAAAGTGAAGAACAGTAATAAATTTTCACACGCAATATTTTACATTAACTCTGCAACTATTTTACATTTTATATTATATTATATTATAATAATTATTTTACATTAACTCTGTAATTTTATGTATTTTAAACAACATTATTTTCTAAAATTCTTTTTAGAATTAACATTTGTATATATGGTATAAATAATGCATGTGGATAGTAAAAATGGAATCGATCAGTTTAGTTTCTTTTAAACGCCTCAAAGCGACCAAAAAGTAATCGAACAAAATGGCTAGTATATCGTCTAATAAAGTTTTTCAGTTTCTCATAAAAAAAAATTCATCTTTCACTTGCACACAGAAAAAAAAGCACAGTTACTTTTTGGCCAAACTAAAATTTGGCAATGACTCGTGTTTAGAGTTACCTGAAAAAAGGCAAAAGATAGTCGAACAAAATGGTTAGTATATCGTCTAACAAGGTTCCTCACTAAAAAATTCGCCTTTCACTCGCACACAGAAAAAAGGACAATTATATGGTCAAACTAACATCTGTCAGTGACTCACGTTTAAAGTTATCTAAAAAATGGCAAAAGATAGTCGAACAAAACGATCAGTGTATCGTCTAACAAAAGTTTTCCTCTTTCTCATAGAAAATTCACACTTATTTGGCCAAACTAACATCTTTCAGTGACTCACGTTTAAAGTTACCTAAAAAATAGCAAAAGATAGTTGAACAAAACGGTCAGTGTATCGTCTAACAAAAGTTTCTCTCTTTCTCATAGAAAATTCACATTTATTTCGTCAAACATCTTTCAATGACTCACGTTTAAAGTTACCTAAAAAATGGCAAAAGATAGTTGAACAAAACGATCAGTGTATCGTCTAACAAAAGTTTTCCTCTTTCTCATAGAAAATTCACATTTATTTGGCCAAACTAACATCTTTCAGTGACTCACGTTTAAAGTTACCTAAAAAATGGCAAAAGATAGTCGAACAAAACGNAAAAAAAATTAAAAAAAAAAAAAAAACCCAAAAAAAAAAAAGGGTTTTTTTTAAAAAAAAAAAAAAAAAAAAAAGGAAAACGCAAAGATAAGCGCAGAGTTGGAGAGTGACGACAGTATTAGGGTTAAATTGGAACACGTACAAAAGATCGATTTTCTGTTTCTCGCGGATATTTAGAATACATGCGATTAGATGAAACCAGCCTAGTACGTATATATACATATATACATATATACGTGTGTATATATATATATAATACACATTTCCATATATACGCGTACACATACGACACACGTATATACATATGTATAAATATAAATATGAATTTTACTACAGATTGCAGCGTGCACGTGCAATTTGATCGAGAAACAACGAGGTCTCGATTTGACGAATTTTTTGTGATACCTGTCAAATATGTAAAACGGCAAATCGATCTTCTCGATAGACGACCACGCTTTTCGTTTGTCTCAGTCACACGGTGTAAATTCGTACGGACACCGATACGAGTGTACTTTTCAACGGGGACAAGACAAATGCTGCACCAACGACCATGTTATTTACACCTCACGCAGGATGATTTTCGGCTTATATCTAGAGAAATCGCTGATTGCGTGCGAGTTGAGCGTTAACGAGGATTACACGCAAACAAACGACAAACTAAAAAAAGAAAAAAAAAAGAAAAAAAATGAGTACAGTAAAGATGTCATTGAAAAAAGAAAAAAAAAAAAAAAAAAAAAAAAAACCCCCCCCCAAAAAAAAAAAAAAAAAAAAAAAAGGAAAAGGAACAGAAACATAGACCGTACAGAACGATAAACGTTCCAGGAAGATATTGGATGGACAACGTGTACTGCGACGGAAGCGAGGACGAGCTGTCCAAGTGCCGGTTCGACGGATGGGGTGCTTCCGACTGCGGGGGCGGCGAAGCGGCCGGTGTAATTTGCACTCGTGACCAACAATACGGGGCGAACGAAGGTAATAAAGGGATGGCGGAGAGGAAGCCGAAAACGAAGCCAGAGAAACGACGAGTCAAGGATATCCATCAGCAGGGAGTGGCGATAAGGTTGGTCGGCGGCCGCGTCTATAGCGAAGGCAGAGTCGAGGTCAAGCTGGGGAATTCAGGTATGCTTCGATCCACCGTGTGTAACCGTGATTCTTTACCTTCTGGAAAACTGCTGGACTTCTGAAATTATTCAGAGCGTTCTCTTTTGTTGTTCTTTCTCGGAGGCACGATCTTCGGGTGCGACTTGAAAATTTAGCTATTACCAATATTTGGTATCTCTAATTTAATTTAATTTAAAGTGTTGATACGATGTTTTTAGTAAAATATGGGTCTCTTTTTAAAGAGAAATAGAAAGAGAGAGAGAGAGAGAGAGTAGAAACGCAGGTGTGAACAATTATTTAGAGTGCTCCCTGACATTTTTAGTAATATGATCGTCAATTCAGATTAGATTTCTATTTTTATAGAAGTGATGCGAGAGAAAGACGTGTGATAGTTGTTCCTTAACACTCTCAAGTAATACTAAGAAATTTTCAATCTGAACGTGTCCGGTTGATCCTCGAATTTAACCCCCTTCCGCTGGCAACTGGTTGCGCGGACCATAACGAGTGACCGAGCCGTATACGATAATTCGTCGCTTTCTTTTCCCTTTCGGAGATGATGTTACTGGATAAGAATTATTAAGAAGTAATAAACTTATCATTTGTTTCGCCTGGGTTAACATACATTTAAATAAATACTTAAAACTGAGGAAATGTTGCAATTTGGGGCGAAAAATTCTCAACGTGCGTGGCACGTCATTCCAGCGCAAGAGGCTAATAACAAAAGAGAGCATAACGAGAATGAAACTATAAATAATTAAATATTAATATAAATATTAATTTAATTAATTAAAAATTGATATAA